ACAAGTTCAGATGGCTTCACAGGTGAACTCTCTAACATTTCAGGAATAAATATTACTACTTTTGTACAAATTCTTTCTCAAAACAGAGGATGAGGAAATGTATCATGCTTTCCTATAATAATTAAAAAAAGAAAAAATCATGTATTTGTCTCACTCATGAACCTAGAAGGAAAAATCCTTGAAATATTAGCAAATGCAGTGATAGGTTAAAAGAGTACTGTAGTGGCTAAGGCACTTGACTGCTAACCAGAAGGCTGGTGGTTTGAACCCACCAGCCACTCCTCAGAAGGAAGATGGGGCAATCTACTTCTGTAATGATACTGCCTTGGAAACCCAAGGAAGGTTCGCTGTGAGTTGGGTCTGACTTGATAGTACATAACAACAACAACAATATCATGACCTGAGTGGATTTAATACTCAAAAATAAGTTAATGTAATTCACCATATTAGCAGAAAAAGAAAAAAGTCATCATCTCAATGGATGAAGGAAAGCATTAGTCAAGGAGAAACAAATAATTGGAAAAGAAAGTCATTTTGGAAGGGTTATCAAAATAGGTACTTTACTTTAAATTATATGCAGTCAGTCCCTTCTAGTTTCTTTAAGACTGCCAGAAGTAGTGTGTAGTTGTTGCTGTAGGGTGCCCTTCCTTGAGTCTATTCGGACTCAGAGATCCTATGTGGCCAAGTAAGTGCCCTATCGGGGGTTTTTTGGCTGTAAAACTTAACAGAAGTAGATTGCCCAGTCTTTGCTCTGCAGAGCTCCTGGGTAGATATGGACCATCAACCTTTTGGTTATCAGCCGAGTGGTTAATCATTGTGTCATCAGGACTCCTAGAAGTAATAGAAGTGTGTTATTTGAAAATTGATTGTTATTTCCCTTAGTAATAAAATTCATTTGGTTAAATATCAACCAGGAATCTAACATCAAAAAGTCATAGATACAACAAAAAGTGTTTCATAAAGGTAAAGAAATTGTAGCTAAAAGCTAGGGTAATAACCTAAAAATGTAAAACTTAAGTCTGTAGTTTTAGGAGATGTAAAAGTGCATCACAAATTGCTTATACAAGGGGTACTCATGTTTTATAAAATATTTATAATACTTACAAAAAGTATAATCAAATGAAACCATAAATTTGACTGAGTCTAAATGTGTTAGCTATAACAATCATTAAACATTTAAACAATTTGTTTAGCTTTCTAAGAATTGGAAGGAAGGAAGGTAATTAGATAGCCTAAATTCCTCAAATAAGTTGTACACAATTTAAAATAGTACATCATTCCTTCTTCTACAAATAATTCCCATATAGAATGAATGGTTGGTCAAGGTGTACCCTTGACCTTATGGTGGCCCTAAGCCTATGGTCAGTCCCTAAATGGTACAAATGGTTAAGTGCTTGATGACTAGCCAGAAGGTCTAGGAAGTCAGTCCTGGCAATCTGCTTCCAAAAGGTCACAGCCTTGAAAATTCTATGGAGCAGGAGGCTGGCAGTTCAAACCCACCAGCCACTCCTCAGCAGGAAGATTGGGCAATCTACTGCCACAGAGTTACCGCCTCAGAAACCCAAGGAGGGGTCGCTATGAGTCAGAATTGGCTCAACAGCAGTGAGTTTTAATTTTTTGGAGTTCTACTCTACACTCATGGGGTCGCCCTGAGTGGGAATCCACTTGATGGTAATTAAGAACAACCAAGCCTATGGTCAGGGGCTTCTTGCCTGTTATTTATTGTAGCTCCCGTGATTAACATTAGTTTGTATTCCGGAGGTTTCCCAATATTTCTGTTCTGCATTCTCTTAACTTCTTTTCTTTAAAACTGTAGAAACAGATTTGGCTTCAAATCAAATGTAAAAATCAAATCCTGTAAGTTACTAGATTTGACACCTTGTTGACAGCTATCAGAGCATTTCACACTATTGGAAAACAATTACTAGTTCCTTGTCACAGCCTTTTAAAGAAGAAATCTCAACTACCTCCAAGGCAATTGCTAAAACAGGCATAAGCTATCAGACTTGAGCACAGGCAGCTGCCTGGTTTCCGTGTTGATGGGACCACATTCTCAACCTCCTTGCTGGTAGACTCAGCCTCAGGAGTACAGCCACTCACTGAGAGGCACACTTGAGTGATGTTGGTTAATTAACCCCTTTGTGACTTGTGGGGCCTATATTGCCCACCAACATTGTCAACCTCTCCAGTCCATACCACTGCCTGCTGGGGATCTGTATAACTGTGTGAATCTGAAGACATGGACCTCACCCCGCCAATCTACCAGTAGACTCCACTTAGAACATATACATCTCACATAATTGTATCAAAATCCATATTACCTCAAGAATTTCTTTTTCCTTGATTTCAGCATGCCTTCTGTACTGAAAACACAGGGTATCAACAAAAAAAATCAAAGCAGAAAATAATTTGGTCGTGAAAGGGTTAACTGAGTTTACTGCAGTTTTGAAGGTCCTTGGGTGGCCCATCTGCAGAAGAAAGACCAAGTGATCTGGTTCTCTTAATATTATAGCCGTGAAAACCCTATGGAGCTCAATTCTACTAACACACAGGATTGCCGTGAGTTGGAATTGACTCAACAGCAATGAGCTTGCTTTGGTGTTTTGGCTGTCATTGGGTCAGTCAGACTCACAGCGACCCATGCACAATGGAACAAAATACTGCCTGGGGCTGTGCCATCCCCATGATCGGGTACAGGTCAGACTGTTGTGAGCCCTAGCGTCCATTGCTGATATTTGGAAGTAGACTTCCAGGCCCTTCCTCCTAAGGTATGCGTGACCCCAAAACACCAAACCCATTGCCATTAAGTCAATCCCGACTCACAGCAACCCTTCAGAACAGAGTAGAACTGCCTCATAAGGTTTCCTCCCTTATAAATCTTTATAGAAGCAGACTGCCACATCTTTCTCCCATGGAGCTGCTGCTGGGTTTGAGAAGTCAACCTTTTGGTGAGCAGCTAAATGCTTTAATTACTGCACCACCAGAGCTCCTAAGATATGCATTCTTCTCCTCACACTGCCTTCAAGTCAGATCCAACTCATAGCGACCCCTCCTTGGGTTTCCTAGGTGGTATCTCTATGGAAGTAGATTGTCCAACCTTCCCTCTGAGGGGTGGTTGGTGGGTTTGAACCTCCAGCCTTCTGGTTAGCAGTCAAATGCCTTAGGCACTACACCACCAGAGCTTCCAAGATATGCATTAGACGTCATAAATAATATGCAGCTCTGTGTTATTGTTGTTATGTATTATAGTTATTATTGGCTAACTGTCCTTAAGCTTCACCGAAATTAAACTAACCTCAGGAAAATCCTATTATGCAGATACTAAATCTTTATTTCTAAGATGAGAAAACTGAGATTGAAAAGTTAGGTAGTAGTTGAGGAGAATGTATGTCAGCAAAGGCTGGGATAGGCCTGAAGAAGTAGATATAGACCACTGAGCAGCAGTGATTCAAACCTGAGTGTCTGACTCAAAGGATAATGGCCCTAATAACATCCTTCTGTTTGTCCCTTAAGCCAGGTATAAATATTCATTCCAAATGGAATTGATATTATTCTCTAAGGAATTGAAGGCTGAGAGACGCTGAAGAAATTTTTGTTCTCCATTTTCTCTCCCAAACCATGATATAGTAGAAGATTGCTGTTTGTAGTTTCTTTGTCTGTTTCTTTTGTGACTATCTCTAGATCTTTTAGAACAATTCTGATTTCAAACCTTCTTTCTGTAACCCTCATAATCAGAAGCATAACTGAGGAGTAATGCACCAGAAAATTTTTTTAATAAAAACTTTAAAGATCACGTATTGACATGATGTTACAATGGATCTGATAAAAGTATATTAGAGGAAGCAGAGTGAAAGGAACTATGAGGCCATTGAGCGGGCCTTTACCTGAGCTACCCCACAAAGCAAAAGTGAAGGCCCTCACTTTTGCCCCCTGGAACCTGACCACGTGCCCTAGGTTGTGGTCTTAGGTAAGGCCGATATACAGCATGAAGGTTGCTGAGAAGAAAATGGAGCCCAAAGGCTTCTTTCAAATGTCCAGACAGTTGAAATGAACAGGAGGAGGAGAAGTATTCTCTCTCCTTTCTTTGTTGAGTCCATCCCCTTGAATGCAAAGGAAAAAACCATGTTTGATCAGCCTTGTGATAATAAAGCTTACCCCAGAGCAGCCACTTTTGCTTTATGAGATGGAAATCTAATTAGTTCTTAAGAGGTTAACCCCAAATGCAAATAGAATTCTTTACCATATGTGCTTGACTAATCTACTTCATGGAGCTCTGGTGGCATAATGCCTAAGGCACTTGACTGCTAACCAGAAGGCTGGTGGTTCAACCGCCCCCAACCACTTCTGGGAAGGAAGGTTGGGCAATCTACTTCCGTAGTGATACTGCCTCGGAAACCCAAGGAGGGGTCACTATGTGTCGGATCCAACTCCATGGCAGTGAGTACCATACCATACCGTAATCTACTTCAGATAAGATAAAATAATAATAATTATTGACATCAACCCCTCCTTGGTTTTCCAAGGTGGTATTTCCAATCTTACTTAAGGTGGTTGCCCAATCTTACTTCCGAGGAGTGGCTAGTAGGTTTGAACCTCCAACCTTCTGGTTAGCAGTCAAATGCCTTAGGCACAACATCACCAGAGCTTCCATCCCTTTGAATGCAAAGAAAAAAAAAAAAAAAAAAACATGTTTGATCAACCTTGTGATAATAAAGCTTACCCCAGATGAGTCACTTTTGCTTTATGAGATAGGAATCGAATTAGTTCTTATGAGGTTAAACCCAAACACAAATAGAATTCTTTAACATATGTGCTCAACTAATCTACTTCAGATGAGATCAAATAATAATAATTATTGGCATTCCAGTTTTCTCCGAGAAGAATGCATTAAAACAAAATGCACACAGAATATAATGCTGCTGAGTAGATTACTCATAACCTGCTGCTAGAAAGGCAATAAAGCTTGGGTAATGAGTAGAAAGATGTTCCACAAAGTGTTCATATACTTTTAATACCAAAAAAACAGCCTAATGAAAACACTTGATACTGAAGATTTGTTTAACTATTTAGCATAAACAGAAAATAAGAACAGAAAGATCTATGAGCTGGATTGTTAATCACATGCTAAATAGCACACTGAGGTGACTAATTTTATAAAGACATTAGAAAATTCCAAAGAATAAAGGGGGGTTTATTTACCATCAGGAGGTTGTGATACCTAAGCAGAGTCTCAAGATGTTAAACCTGGACGTGGTTGGTTGCTTTCTTTTTGCCTTCAATGTGTTCCCAAAAGGAGACTGGGAGAATAAAATTCTATACTTAGATTATAGCTTTTGGTGTTGTAAAAAAAAAAAGTAAAGTGTGCCAAGTAAGAAATGAAAGATGCAACTTGTTTAGGCTGTGTGTTGTCTGAGCTTCTCCAATTCAAGTCTGTATTAATGAGCATTCCTTTCCCCAGGGAGATAAAGAAGCTGAATTAGGGCTTCCTTTTTCCCCACTTTGTGACCGGAAGTCGACGATGGTGGCCCAGTCACAAATAGGTAATGTGGAAGATTGGTGGTTGTGGAAAGTGACTGTGTGCTTTTCAGTTTTCAAATGTATACACAATGTTGTTCAGAGGGGTAATGTCCATGAAAACCTCATTTCAGTTCCTATTTATAATTTTGATCTTTAGAATTTTCTTACAGGGTGCTAGCTGATGAGAATTATTGAAATATATGCTCACAAAATAAGTTCAATAACATAGTCTTAGTTAATGTAATTGTTCTTTTTGTTTTCCCATCCAAGTACTACCAAGCTTTCGAGACGAAATGGAATCGGGTGTGCACAGGGTGTCATGGCCATACACTGCTCTTTTTGCTCAAGAGACAGGATTATTTTTGTTGTTTTCTTGCTGGCTATTGTTTTCTAAATGTATTCCTTTGGCTATAGGACAATTTGATGAAAATATTTATGTGCCTATTATAACTAATTTTGCATAGTATAGTCAATGTACTACTTCATGTTCTTTTAGAAAATTTTATCATTTGAATAGATGCGACAACAAAAGAAAATTTATAAAATTATATTGCTCCTGGCCATATTAACTCCTGTCATCCATATTTGTGTTGGGGACTCCAAGCCGAGTCCATTATGAAAACATATTTTTGCTATGCTGCATAGTTCAGATGTATGTAACAGTTAACACCCTCCACCAGTATCTTCATGACTGAACTATATGATACATAAACAGAGTGTCGTCATGTTACCCGCATAGGTGTGATCCAACACCAGCACTACAAAGCAGCCCTCAGCTTCCAGAAGCTTTCTTGCTCAGACCTTTCCCCCTTCCCAGCCCAGTTCCAACAGCTGCTTTTCCAGAGAACGTAACAGTCCCTTTCATTGATTAGCAGGCACGAAGATGTTAGGCTGAGCACCTCATCTGGCGGGATAATAGAGATCTAAGTGTGTGAGACTTGCTGCTATAATATAAATTGCTGCTATGTTAATAGAGATGCCCTATTTGACAGTCTACATATTTAAACTATAGTTGGGATTTGAAATAGAATCCTGAGTAGCCAGTTAACGTTGTTTGACTTGAAGACATTACTTAAAACATAAAACTATTAAGTTTTTTTTTTAATTAAAAATGGATCTAAATATATGCTATGATTCATATCATTACCTGAAATGTGAATTAATTTCATCGGGGCATATGATGGATGGAAAACCATTGTGCATTTGCCAGCACACTTTCACTTACAAAGCCTCCCTCCAGTTATTTCCTTATATTGAGATGTTAGCCCATGCTCCCATAGGTTTCTAAGGCAACGAGCACTTGATTGTAAGCACTACACCTGCACTTGGTTGTGGGGGTGGTAAAATACACACAGAGCTTGGGTGTGGGTAGTGTTCTCTTCCACCTAAACACTGGCTGTAAGTGCTTCCTGGAGGACAATTCCCCATTCTGTCTGCATGTCATCATGTATTTTGATGAATACTTTAAATGTAAAAGTCTTTTTATTGAATCCTGACATCTTAAAGTGGTGGGATAAATGCTGTCACCCAGAGATGTTACTGTTCTCTTTGCTGGTTTGACAGAATATGCCCACACACTGCAAACTAACACTTGACATCCAGAGAATAATAAATAGCAATTTGAAATATTAACCCTCTGCCAAAAGGCTCTGATTAGTACAACCAGAGGGAAAAAAAAAAACAGTGATTGCTTTCCCGTGGTCCAAGCAACACTTCAACCACTTAGTTTCTTTGGCATTTTGATTATTTCTTGTTGGTCGATAAGAAAATTCAACAAGCAAGTGAAGATCTTTTAGAAAGGGTAATGATCCCTCTCATTGTGAGGGGAAAATTACATCCATTCTCATTAGATCTGAATTTGTCGTCATTGATAATACCAGGCTGAAGGCTAAACGGCAAAACCAATATACTTGCGATAACAAGTTTAAGTTGATCACTTCCATGCTTGAAGACTGTTTTGTAACGGTTAAGCTATCATTTCTAATGATTGTTATTTCATATATATAATCAATCAAGGGGTAATTTGATCCTTGCTCTCCCACAAGTGTCATAATCTCTTCACTATTACTGAGTTTAGAATTCAAGAAATTCTAACACTTAAATTTATCTTTTCTTGCTTTTATAGGTTTCATTGATTTCATAGTAGAGCCAACATTTTCTCTGCTGACAGACTCAACCGAGAAAATTGTTATTCCTCTTATAGAGGAAGCCTCAAAAGCCGAAAATTCTTCCCTTAGGACAATCAGGTTTGATATTTTTTTTGTGATTATTTTACTTCTGAGATGTTTAATAGCCTTTGCCTTCTGATTATGTTTAATATTTCTTAAATCCTGGAATGAAATGTTCAGAGAATTATTAATTAGCATTGCCATCTAGTGGCCACACATGATATTGCATCTGCCTCTGGAAATAATTGTCCATCGCAAAAAATACCAAAGTACCAACGAGTTTTTTTAAAAACCGATGCAGTATCCCCTTCTGTTCAAATGACTATATGAAGAAGAATGTGGCATCAGGATTGGAGGAGGGCCCATTAACAGCCTGTGATATGCAGCCGACAGAACCCAGCTTGCTGAAAGTGAGGGTAATTTGAACCACTTCCTGACGAAGATTAAAGACTACAGTCTGCAGTATGAATTACACCTCAACATAAAATGAAAATCCTCACAACTGGACCAATAAGCAGCATCATGATAAGTAGTGATAAGACTGAAGTTGTTAAAGATTCCGTATTACCTGTTTCCACAACCAACACCAATTGAAGCAGCATCAAGAAATCAAACAATGTAATTGCACTGGGCAAATCTGCTGTAAAACACCCCTTAAAGTGCTGAAGAACAAAGATATCTCTTTGAAGACTAAGGTATGCCTCACTCAAGCCATGGTATTTCCAATAGCCTCCTAAGCATGTGAAAGCTGGACAATGAATAAGGAAGTTCAAAGAAGAGTTGATGCTTTTGATTTATGGTCTTGGTGAAGAATAATACAGGTACTACGAACAGCCAAAAGAACTAACAAATCTGTCCTGGAAGAAGTGCAGCTGCAATGTTCCTTGGAAGCGAGAATGTTTCCAGAGTTTGTCTCACCTACTTTGGTCTTGTCAGAAGGGGCCATTTCCTGGAGAAGGATATCATCCTTGGTAAAGTGGAGGGTCAGCGAAAAAAGGGAAGGCCCTCAATGACATGGATTGACACAGTGGCTGCAACGATGGGCTCAGGTATAGCAAGGATCGTGGGGCTGGTGCAGGACTGGGCAGTTTCGTTCTGTTGTACGTGGGGTCACTATGAGTTGAAGCCGACTTGCCAGCACTTAACGAAACAACAAGATGTTTAAGAAAGTAGCATTTTAATATTCAGGGGAAAAATTAAATTTTCATTGGGAGATTATGTATTGTGTTCTGGGTATGAGAACACATCTGGTAGTTATTTATAAAACATGCAGTCACAGCCCACCTGTATGTCAAGTGAGATGCCTGTATTGAAGTTAGCTTTTAGCTTAGATGAATATAACAAATCTTCATCTTTATCTTTGATGAATGAATACAGCCTGTAATGGGAAAGTCCATTAAACAAACAGCCTACTTACAATACTTCAACTGGATTTTTTCACTGATAAATTTGGTAAGGGATATTATTTAAAATTTCCAGTTAGAGAAAAAATTATGCTAAATTTTTGCCCCTCTGTTGGTCCAACTTTTCATAATGGCACCGTAACAAGTTCCCTAAACGCAGCTGTAATGAGGAAATTGACTCAATGTTCCACTTGAGAGAGATCGGGTTTTAGCCTGGAGATTGCTTGGCGGAGGAAAGGGCAGATGCCAGTACTCCACTAGGGGCTCCAGAATGCTGATGGCCTTTTGTGACATGCACCCGTGGACAGCCCACTCAGTCCGCTCACCTCAGGTTTGCACAGCTCTAAAATCCCTGCTCTCGTCATGACTTGGCCCATCCAATAAGACCTCTGCTGTTCAGGGAGTCCTGCGGTTTGTGGGTTTTCAGGTGCAACTGCTCTCTCGCTCTGTTTCCTGACTTTGGTGTTTTTGTTTGTTACTTCCTTCCTTGCTTTTGTTATTAGCAGTGCGAGCTCCATCGGAGGATTGAAAGTTGCTGATGCGCTGAAACAATCGAATGTGAAGAGCAGCGTGAGTGATGGGCCGGACTCCCCAGACTACTCCCTTACAGCTGTGGACCTCAAGAGCTTCAAAAGCAACCTGGTGGACATCATTCAGCAGAATAAAGAGAGGTGGAAGGAGCTGGCTGCGCAAGGTACCGTTGTGTGTGTCTCCGCTTTCTGTCTTAAATCCTCATCTTATCCTTTCCATCCCCCTCCCCTCTGGTTTCCTTTTTTATAAAACATACATGCCCTTTGGGATATGTAGAGTTTGCCTATTCCACATTGAGAAGGTTGAGTTATCTTTTCCAAAGGAATGCTGTTCTGTTTATGCCACAATAGCTGCAAATGTGTGTGTCAGTGGATAGGGGCAAAATGGGAATGAAGATGGGCCAATACAATGGTGGCAGACCGTATTTGGTACAAGAGCTCCTGTTTTTTAGCCTTTGCATGTGGCTTTTGTGTTGCCTTGAGAATGTAACACTTAAGGGTTAGAGATTCAGGTGGGTGACTTTTTAAATTTATTTTTTTATATGTATCTTTTATTTCACTATGATGCTTTTTTGGCTGACCATTTGATTCAAGAGTTGAACAAATCTTCTGTAACCAGCCACGAAAGAAATCAGATACGATGCCGGCTATAGTTATTTCTAACATATCTGCTTATTCACATTAACCTGCCTATTTGGTTTAGGAGGTGAGCAATGAGTATCAGAATAGCCATTATCAATAATGCTGAAAACAAGCTTTCAAATTCCAGATCGGACCCCTGACTCTTCTCACACTCCTTCCCATCGTGCCGTCCGGTCCCTGCACAGTAGACTCTGGCAACTTCTTTTTTTTTTTTTTTTAACTTATTATTGTATTTTGGAGAAAGTCTACAGAGCAAATTAGTTTTCCATTTAACAATTCATACACGTTTTGCTTTGTGACTTTGATTGCAGTCTCCGCAGTGTAACAACACTCTTCCCACTTCCACCCTGTGTTTACCATCTCAGTTCGTCCTTCTTTCCTGTCCCTTCCTGCCTTCTGAGCTTTATTCCTGGGCAAATGCTGCCCTTTTGATCTTTTTTTTCTTTTTCTTTTTTTTTAAATGTATTTATTTTTATTTGGGTGAAGATTTACAGAGCAAATTCACTTTCCATACAGCAGTTCACATATACTTTGTCTCATGTCATTGACCACAGTTTACCACAATG